GCCGAGGATGGCTGGGGCCAGGACAGTGCCCTCGCGCCACTCTCTGTACACGGAGAACAGAGCAGGCAGGTCAGGGAGACTGCGGGAAGGCCAGGAACGCCCAGTGGCAATTATTCAGGGTGCAGGTGCTGGAGCCTGAACAGGGTGGGGTGCTAGGACCCTCTAAGCATGGGGACAAGAGAATTGGCTCTAGAAGCTTTCAAGGTGTCGGGTGGATAGAGCTCAGAGCCTGCTCAGGTGTGGGGTGGACAGAGCTCAGAGCCTGCTCAGGTGTGGAAGTGAAGGAGAGGATGGTCCTTGCCGAAGCTTGTTTCTGACCTGCTCACTGGGGGTGGGTGGCAGGGCCACTTCCTCAGATGGCAGGCAAGGAGACAGGGGCTCTGCGGCCAGCAGAGGTCCCTTGCAGCTTTCCTGACACAGGTGGTGGATCTGCAGAGGAACAGGGGTGGGTGGGGCTGGGGGTGGAGTGGGATGGAGAGGGCAGTGGGGACCACAGGGTGTGTGCTGCTCCAGAGTAAGGATGATGAGAACAACAGCATGTGGGAGCCACAGCGCCAGGTGCAGAGGAAACGGCATGGAACGTGTGCCCAGAAATTAGCAACGGGCAGGTAACTGGCGTGTGGGACAGCCAGTCCCAGGTGCACGGGCACAGAAACTGCTGCGGTGGGCAGAGGGGTCAGCGTGCTGCAGGTGAGCGGGTGCGGGCGCGTGTGCATGAGAGGAGGGCTCTGCGGGCAGCTGCCTCTGAGCTCTGAGATGCGGGGTCTTGGAGCCTACCACAGAGTAAGCAGAGACCATGCAGGGGAGGAAGATCCTGAGACCAGGCACATCCGGAAGAGACAGATTGTGGGACCCAGAACAGCTGGGAGACCGAGGGAGGAGAGCTAGCACTGCTGGAGCTGGCCAGCGGTGGCGCCAGGGGATGAAGGAGCCGGCAGGGGCTACCCACTTGAGGGCCGACAAGACAGGCATGCTTCCTTTCCGTGTGTCCCGACTAAGGGCTGCCGTCGGTGTCGGGTTTGCAGCTGTTGCTGCGCGGACGCACTTGCTAGCGTTAGATGTGGGCTCTGAACGTGGCTGTCTACCTCCGTGGCAGTCTCTGCGTGCTCAGATAGTCTTGGCTGGGGATTACTGTCTCATGGAGGGGACGGCCAGGACATTTGGAGCGTGCTGCCGAGGAAGGGTCTGTGGGTCCTGCATTCAGAGTGGGGGTACGAGGCCTGTTCCTCTGCCTCCCCACCCCCGTAGCTTTCCCTGTTTTTTTTTTTTTTTTTTTTTTTTTTTTAATGCGGTGGATCACCGCAC